ACCTAGCCCCCAGGAAGAACCGTGTGTTCCCTCACAGCCGGCAGAGTCTTGGAAACACAGTACCACCTCTAGTTAGAGTCGCAGAGACTGTGCTAAGCCTTTTAAGAGGAGTCCACAGCACCCTGTGAGGTAGGCCCTGTTAGAGCCCTTATGTTACAGAGGAGGCTCAGAGAAGTTAAGTAACTTGCACAATGTCACACAGCTGCTTGCAGAGCTGAGATTTGAACACTAAGGGGTTTGAACCCGTCTCTGACCTACTCAACCAAAGTTCTGGAAGACCCTTAAAGGTCATTTGTCGAAACTTCTCATTTCCAGGCGGGCAAACTGCAGTTACAAGAAGGAAGGACTTATCTAAGAAACAATAACGGTCATATATTGAGTGCCAGCTTTATGTCCGGCCCTGCGCCGGTCACTTAACAGATGTTATTTTATTACACGTCACAATATGCTTGGGAAGTTGGTTTGGGGACGTCCATTTTAGAGATGATCAAATGGGTCTCAGGGAGGTTAGGTGACTTGCTTAAGGTCACAAAGCAGGGTGGTAGCAAAGCTGGGATTCAAATTCGATCTGCCTGACTCTCAACCCTTATGTCTTAATGTGACCTCCTTTGAACTGTCTCCATTGTTCCTGTGACCCAACCTGTGATGTGACCAGGACCCTCCCCTGGTCTCCCCTAGTCTCTTTCCATCCCTCTTGGGGGGCCTGGGAACGAGAGAGCTGGGAGGGAATTCAAGCCTTACTCCTTCAGGACCCTCCTCTAGGGGGCTGAGGGCCCGACTGGGCTGTCTCAGCTACTCAGCCTCCAACACCTCTTGACTGAGCGTCTCCCAGGCGCCAGGCACTGTTCTAGCCCTGGGGATTCAGCAGTGAACCAGGGCCACGAATTCCTGCCCTCAGGGAGCCGGCGTTCTGGGGTCTAGGTCTGTCTCTCCTGGCTGACCCCGCTCTGCACACATCCCCAGGCTGAGCTCAGTGGCTGACCGGTGCCGGGGGCTTGGTGAGGATTGCTGAATGACTAGGTGAGTGTAGTACAGGCCGTTGAAGAGTGAGGAACAGCGAGCTGGTGGAGAGCTGGACCTCAAACTCGGGCCTCTGGAATCTTCAGTCACGAGACAGCCTTGCAAAGGAAAACCCAAGTTCAAACCCAGGATCCACCACCCCAGGACCTGTAAGACTTTGGGCAACTCCCAGTTTCCTCATTTGAAGTAAGAAAGGTAACAGTTTTCCTTGTAAGGTTATTTTAAGACAGTAAATATAGAAAGCACCTTTTGAGGGCCAGCCTGGTGGCGTAGTGGTTAAGTTCACATGCACCCCTTCGGCGGCCCAGCATTTGTGGGTTTGGATCCTGGGCACAGACCTACATACCACTCCTCAAGCCATGCTGTGGTGGCATCCCACATACAAAATAGAGGACGACTGGCACAGATGTTAGCTCAGCAACAATCTTCCTCAAGCAAAAAGAGGAAGATTGGCAACAGATTTTAGCTCAGGGCCAATCCTCCTAACCAAAAAGAAAAAAAAGGAAGAAAGAAAGAAAGCACTTCTTATGTGTAGGACATTATTCTGAGCACTTTAAAATACATTATACACATTAAATCATTCAACTCCCACAGTATCCCATGAGATAAGTACTATTATGACCTCTATTTTACAGGTGAAAAACTGAGTGTGTGCTGGGCCATTTGCCCAAAGTCACATAAAATTATGTGGCAGAGCTGAAATTTGAACCCATGCAGGGTGGCTCCAGAATCTAGCATCCATAACCACTGGGCTAGCTGTACCACTCCTGGAGAACGAAGTAACATGTTCACACAAAAACTTGTCCAGGAATGTCCGTAGCAGCCTCACTCATCAGAGCCAAAAAGCGGAAACAACCCAAATGCCCATCAAATGAAGAATAAACAAAATGTGGTATATCCTACGGAATCCTCTTCAGCCATAAAGGGGAATGAGGTACTGCCACATGGATACCCTTGAAAACATGGTGAAGCCAGACACAGAAGGCCACATGGTATATGATTCCATTTACATAAAATGTCCTGGAACATAGCAGGCCCTAATAAATACTTGATAAGTGAATGAATGGATGAAAATAAACCTTCTGGGGGGGGTCGAAGCCCCCTCTGTGCCCTTTGCAGCTCTCAATCTCCTGCCCCCTCCCCAAATGTGACACCCATTCTGATCTTGGCATTCGTCATTATCGTGCATGTTTTTGCCCCTTTGCTGTGTGTTTACACATCCGTAAATAGCACGTGGTATTGTTTGGCACATTTTTAACTTCTATCAATGATACCCTACTGGATTTTCCTCCTGCAGCTTGCTTTTTGCCAATTTGATACATGTAGTTCTGGATTATTCTTTCTAACTTGTGTAGAGCACGCTGTTGTATGAATGCGGGTCTTCCGTGACTTATGATAAACCCACCGTAAGTTGAAAATATTTTAAGGCAAAAATGCATTTAATATACATAACCTACTAACCATCACAGCGGCGCCTCGCCTACCTTACCTGTGCTCAGAACACTTACCTTAGCCCACAGTTGGGCAAAATCACCTAACACGAAACCTGTTTTATAATAAAGTGATGCATATCTCACGTAACTTACTGAATACTGTACTCAAAGTGAAAACCACAAAAGCTGCGTGGGTACAGATGGTTCTCAGTGTATCGGTTGTTCACCCTCAGGTCCGCCTGGCTGACCAGGAGCCGCAGCTCGCTGCCACTGCCCAGCATCGTGGGAGAGTGTCGTACCCCACATCACTAGCCTGGGAAAAGGTCAAAATTCGAAGTACACTTCCTACTGCATGCATATCACTTTTGCACCATCATAAAGTCCTAAGTCAGGGACCATCTGTACACTGTGAAGTATAGTCGTTAGAGCATGGAGTCTGGGCCAGACCACCTTAAAAATGTGACTATTTTATACATTTGAGTGGGAGCACCGTGCCTAGGAGTGAAATTTCTGGGTGGTGAGCCCTGGCCATGGACGGCTTAGCCAGATACGATCCGGCTGCTCTCCAAACTTGTCTTCCCAATGTGCCCTCCCACCACCTGGGATTCCACTGCTATTTTTAATTTGAGTTTTCTTGTTTTCTAATCAGGTTGAACACCTTTTCATGCATGTACTGTATCTATTTAGGTTTGCTTTTCTGTGAATGGACTGTTCTTATTCTTTGCCTGTTTTTTTTCCGTTCAATTTTCTTTACCTATTGGAGTTCTTTGTAAGTTCTGGATGCTCGTGCTTGTGGCTTGTCTTTTCACATTGTGTTTACTATAACTTTTGTTGAGAAGTGGAATAGTGTAGAGGTGAGCCTGTGGCCAGATTGCCTGATTTTGAATCTCAGTTCAACCACCTCCTGGCTGTGTGACCTTAAGAAAGTCACTTAACCTCTCTGTTTCTGTTTCCTCATCTATAAAATGGAGATGATAATGGTGCTTGCCTCATCAAATTGTAAGGCTTAAATGAGTCAACATCTATGAGGTGCATTTTGTCTGACACACCGTAAGCCCTCTTAGCTATTGTTGTTGAATAGACGGCTTTGGTTTGGGTTTGGTTGCTGCCAATCAAATTTATCAATATCATCTTTTCTGTTTGCAGTGTGTGTGCTGTGCGCACTTAAGAAATCCTTCTTGGGACCGGCCCTGTGGCCAAATGGCTAAGTTCGTGCGCTCCACTGTGGTGGCCTAGGGTTTCGCTGGTTCGAATCCTGGGCTCGGACATGACACCACTCAGCAAGCCATGCTGAGGTGGCGTCCCCCATGCCACAACTAGAAGGACCCACAACTAAGAATACACAACTATGTACCAGGGGGCTTTGGGGAGAAAAAGGAAAAAATAAAATCTTTAAAAAAAAAAAAGAAATCTTTCTTTACACAGAGGTCATAAACATAGTTTTCCAGACTTTCACACAGAAATATTTGGGGTGACAGTGTAAGGAAGGGATCTGATTTTATTTTTTCCATACAGGTGATCTGTCGTCTCAGCACCGTGTGTTAAGTCCTCCGACCTGCCCCCCCACCCCGACTCGCGCGCGACCCTGAGACACACCGAGCGTCTGTATCTGCCGGCACCTGTGCTCTGGGCTCTGATCCGCCAGGCTCACTGAGTCTCTGGTCCCTTCCTGTCTGTCCGAGCCTACACTCTTCCATAGCGAACACAGCTCACGCGTCAGCTATGGAACACGGGCCACATGCTGTCCTACGGGAAGCAGCCTGGCCTGAGAGGCTTCCCGCAATCTGACCCCACCAACCCCGCCAGCCCATCTCCCGCCTCTCCTCCCCTCCTCCTGCATCTTTAGGCTCCCACACCGGCCTTGCTCCTTCTCTCTGTGCCTTTGCACCTGCCTTTCCCTCTGGCTGTGAGGCTCTTTCTATCCTTTTCCACCTCACAAGCTTGTGTTCTTTCCTTAAAACCCATCCTTGAAGCCCTCTCATTGTGCCCCGGGCAGAGCCCAGGTCCTCTCCTCTCTGCTTTATGTGCATCCCGTTACTGCACAGCAACAGTAACCTGCGCTGGTGACTGCTGGCTTCTTTGTCTGGCTCCCTCCTAGGTGGCAAGTGTCTCTGGCACCAGAATCATTCCTTCTCGGCTTTTATGCCTGCAACACCTGGCACCCCGCCTGGCACTGCAGGTTCTCAGGAAATGTGTTTTGAACTTTACATTGTCCTACAGGTTGAAAGACCGGCGTTCATAGGTCGGCCCCACCTCCTGAGTCAGTTGTAACTGAGCAAGTCCCTCCCCCTCTCTGGGCCTCCATTCCTCCAACTGTTGGAGAGGGCAGGGCTGTTGGTTAAGGGTTTACTTTGACATCTGGAAACCTCATTGGACTTCGAAAGTATCTTCCAGCTCTAGAACTGGGAGGTCACACTGAAGTCATCCCTCATTCACAACTTCCAAAGACTGGAAACAATCCGAATGTCCCTCACCCGGTGAATGAACAAACTACGGTACATCCGTGCAATGGAATATTACTCGGCAATGTAAAGGAACGAACTACTGACACACGACAATGTGGGGGACTCTCAAATGCATCATGATGAGTGAAATAAGCCAGACTCAAACGTCATTTTCATAACATTCTGGAAAAGGCAAAACTATGGAAACAGAAAACAGCTCCATGGTTGCCTGGGGGTAGAGAGAGGGGTGGACGAGAAAAGAACAGAAGGGAATTGGGGAGGCGATGGAACTGTTCCATATCTCGATTGTGGTGGTGACGGGACTGGATGCATTTGTCAAAACTCGTAGAACTGTATACCAGAAAGAGGGAATTTTATTGCGTGTAGACTACGCCTCAGTTTCTTTTAAAAAACGAAGCTGTTATCGATCCCAAGAGCATTAGGCTGTCCCCGCCTGGGTGTCGGAGGAAGGACATGAGACACATGGCTGTGCCTCAGCCACGAGGAGAGAATGGGGCTCTCTGGCGTTGTTGTAGGTTCCCATGGGAGGGAGGTTGGAAGGTGCTCTCCCTAGAGCGAGAGCAGAGGGCCCCTGGGGCAGGCCCAGTGCGGGCCTCTGGGGGAGGGCAGCCTATCCCCCCTTTACAGGCACCCATGAGTAACCAGGGTGTCGTCATCTCATTTTCAGGTGAGGAATGAAATTGAGAGACATTAAATGACTTGCTGAGATCATGGGCAGCGAATGGCAGAGCTGGCAGCTCTGTACTATGCACCCCCCCAATATGTGGCTGAGGTCTCTGCACCCCCAATTTCTAGCCCTCCTCTGGGGCCCAGCCTCATCTCATGTCTGTCTCCAGTCTCAGGATTTATCCCAATAGACCCAAAGGTGGAGTCAGTGTTTGACCTCTAAGCTGGTCACCAGCTGCTCACATTTCGACTCGCAATAGCCGCTAGGAATCCCTCCCCTCCCCCTTCCCAGCTGGAAAACGCTGGCGGGGGAGGGCTCAGGAGGAGCCAGGCTCTCCCACAGCCCACCCACAACCCTGCTCCCCCAGCTCCCTCCCTGGGTGGTCTGCAGCCCAGAGACCCCCACCTCTTTTCTCTCTCTCACTGCCCACTCTGGGGCAGCCATCCTTGTCTGGTCATTCATTCAGAAACAATCCCCAGGGGGCCAGCTGTGTGCTGGGCATGGTGCTGCACTCCGAAGGCACAGAGCCTTTGGCCAACATCCGTCCCCCAGGGAGCCAGCAGGATGTTGGAGCGGTGACTTCACTTGAGTCTCAGTTTCCTCGTCTGCATAATGGGCGTGGCCATCGTTCCCACACCGCACAGAGTTGAGGTGAGGGTAGATGAAAGAATGCATATGCAAAGCCCCTGAAAGCGGACCACCGACCACCGGGTGGTAGCTGGCGTTGTAATAATCTCTCTGGGAGAGAGACGTAAGGAGATCACGTGCAGCGAGGGCTCTGGGGGCTCTGAGGTCCCCATGAGCTCAGCCCACGGAGGGACGGGGAGGCAAGCTCCATTGAACAGGAAGCTGGGGACGAGTTGGGGGCACTCCAGTCACAGGCCCGGACATGTGAAAGGGAAAAGGAGCAGTTTCTGGTTTGTTTTGAGAATTCAATGAATTAATACACGTAAAACACTTGAAACTGTCCCCAGCCTGCAGTGCAAGCTCTAGAAATAGTGATGACGACAAAGGTGCTGTGGGGTGATTTAGGCCAATACTTAGAGCAAGGCCTCACGGGGCTGTGCCTCACCTGGGCCTTCATTCTCTCCAAGGCGTGCAAGAGTCCTGCTCCCTGAGGATTCAGGTCTACAGCCCAGGAAACCCGGTGAGCAGGAAACTGAGTCAGAGGAGTGAAGGCAAAGAGAGGTCCAAGCGGGCTGGAAAAGAGGAGGGGACAGAGAAAGACTAGAAGACAATCAGCCGGGATGAGGAGGGGAGCCCCTGCAAGCCCTGCAGCCCCGGGAAAGCCAGCACGGTGGTCACCCTTGCTACCACGGCGTCTCCTTCCAGTCCTCCTCCCCCTCCCAGCCCTGTCAGCCCCCCGGGGAGTTAGCCCCAACTCACCCTCTTCTGGAAGGCTCAGGAGGGACAGGGCAATTCAGGTCCCGCCATCGCTGGCCAGCGCCTCCGGGAGTGCCCCGTGTTCCAGGGGACAGGAGTGGCTTCCCCAGCTCTGTGGCGCAGGCTTCACCCAAGCTCCCCAGGGGCTGGCAGATGTGGCGCCTGATTTTCCCAGCACTAATCCATGTACGCCCTCCGCTATGGGGATTAGTTCCTCGGGTCCCCACGCAGCAGGGACAGGGCACATCTGTCAGCGAGACTGGGCAGCACGTGACCCAAGATGCTCCAGGCTGGCGGGCTCTCTCCAAAAGGAGTCTCTGCCGAGCCCAATGTAAGAGCGATGGGGTGGGGGATCTTATGGGGGATGGTTACACCCTGGTTAGTGCAAGGATTAAGCTGCAGCATACTTGTAGGGCAGGTAGCCCAGGGCCTGGCACCCAGTAGGGCTCCATAAAGGCTGGCTTCTTGCTACACCTTGGCTTTTATGCCACAGCTTCTACCCAGCCCCAATGGCACACACCAGCTCTTTCTCAGTGAACATTCTAGAAAGTCACTATCCATTCATTTTAGTTGGCACAAAAGAGAAAATATATTTGCCTTAGTGGCACTAGATATGGCTGCACTTTGGAATTACCTGGAAAGCTTTTAAAAACCACTGGTGTCTGGGTCCCACTCCCAGAGCCCCCAGGGGTACATCCTGGGTACGAGGACTTTTGAAGACTTCTTGGGGATGCTCTTGTGTGGCCGAGGTTGAGAACCACTGCCCCAGACCAGTGTGTCTCCAACTCATTTAAATGTGTGTAGGAATAGCCTGGGAACCGAGTTCAACTGCAGGTCCTGGGTCAGTGGGTCAGGGTGGGACCTAAGAGTCTGTATTCCTAACAAGCTCCCAGGTGATATCTGTCCATGGACCACACTTTAAGGAGCAAGACTCCTCTGCAATTCATGCATCTCACCAGCTTCCACATTGTTAGCTCGACAGAGCCTCACAGTTGTCTCCCAGCTACCCTGTGGTTGGATGGGGCTTGAATTATTACGTCCATTTTGCTGATGCTCTGGGTTGGGTATGTGAACGGGTCGGGGCAAGCCTGGATCTTCTTCTGTATGCCCCATGGCCAAAAATCTGGGCTGGCCCAGAAAGGAGGCTTGATAAATTAGAGCAGGAAGAGATCTGATTTCGTCCAACCTTCACCTTGTATGACCGGTGAAACAGGCTCCGAGAGGGGAAATGACTTGCCAAGGTCACATAGCAAGTTTAGTGCCAGCAATGGAACTGGGACACAGGTCTTCTTTTCCATTGTACCTGGCTGCTTGGTTAATCTTTACTGAGGCTCAGAGCCGGCTGGGCAGCCTGCCTCTGGCCACAGATGGAGCGCTGACAATGTGCCAATTTAGTGTTTTCCTTTGGTCTTCACAACCCCACAGGCAGGCTCTATTCTGTCCCCATTTGATATACGAAGAAACTGCTGTTCCGGGCAGTGAAGTCCCCGGGAAGTGGCAGGACTGGGACTCCGGCCCAGGAGTCCTCGCTGTTCCTCAGACACCAAGGCGCCTCCTCGTTGTCTCCCCATCGGACTCTGAGGTCCTCTTGGGCAAGGACCACGTCTCATTAGGGTTTGGGTCGCCAACCTAGGGCTGAATAGGTGAGTCGGTTAATCCACTCCAGGATTCCGCACCTCTGCCCACACAGGCCCTCACCCAGCCCTCCAGCCCGGCTCTGGGAGCTCCTCCCTTGCTTGGGCCCCAGCCCCGGATGCAGCCGTTTCTCCGCGCCGGGACCAGCCCCGCCCCTCGCGAATTTGGCTGGACCGAATCCACGGCATGTCATACAGCGAAGCGGCCACCGGGCGGCAGCAGATGCCCACGTGTAAAATCCTGTGCACCATCCGGCCGGCCTGAGCCGCCGCCTCCAGAAGGATCATTTATTCGTTGAGTGCTTCTCTTCCTCCAGGCGCTTGTCCAAGGGCTTTCCATCCAGGAACCAAGATAATCCCCACAGCAGCCCCGTGAGGGAGGAGTTATTCGTCCTCTTTACAGATAACAGATCATATTAGTCCTTGCTTAAATTACCTTCAGTGGCTGCCCACTGCGCTTCGGAAAAGTCAAAATCCTCACCTGCATAGTCTAACCCCCGCCCGGCGGACCCTTGACTCGGACTGCTGGAGTTCGAAACCCAGCTCCACCGCTTATTGCTTACGTGGCTTTGGTCAGTTTTCTTGGCTTCTCTAGGACCTCAGTGTGCTCATCTGCAAAACAGGGTAATGAAATAGAACCTACCCGCTTGGGGTGGGAGTTAGGATTACAGGAGACAAGACACCGGAAGCACGCGGCTCCGCGGCTGGCCCACAGCAAGCGCTCAGCAAACGTTGGCCCCTGTGATTACGTTCGACCACCTGCCCTCTCCTCCCAGGGCTCCCTCCTCACCCCGCTGACCCCTTCTCTTCCTCTCTTCCCCTCTCCCCCTCTCTCCTGCTCCCCCCTGTTCCTGCTTCCACTTTCTCCCCTTCCTCTCCCTTCCTTTCCGTTCCCCTCCTGCCCCCTCTCTACCACTCTCTCTTCTCTCCACCTTTCTCCTTCCACTTCAGAACCCATTCCAACAGTCCCAACGCTTCTGTGAGACGTTTTCTGATCTCCCTTCTCTGTGGCCCGTGTTCGGGGTTTTAGAACTAGGAGCAGGAGCTGACATACCGTTACAAGGTAGAAGGCTCCGGAGTTCAGGTGGACTAGACTTCAGGGACCCCTGCGTGCTTCCTCTTTTGGCCCCTCTCTTGAAATTCTTTCTTCTAAGATCTATTTTTCAAGGTGGCTGCTTTCCCAGATTTTTTTGAGGTCACTCTTTTGTCTCATTCCAGAACATCCCCTGAGAGAGAAAATGGCTGTCCCCACCCTCAGCATCAGGGCTATTCGGAAAGAAGAATGTGGCTGAAAAGATGTCAAGGACAAAGTAAACTTGAAGAAAGAACCTGTGCCTCTTAAAGGGTCTATGAAGATACTCAGCCTTTTTCCCAGTCGGGCTTTGATTCATTGATTCATGCATTCACTCACACACCCACTGTGTCAGTCAACTGACACTTGCTGAAGGTCTGTCATACGCCAGGTCTTACACCTGCGTCTGGAGGAGGATGCCATGCCAAAGTAGACACAGCAACAAATGCCCGTTGTTAACACCTGTTTATTGAGCACCTGCTAAGGGCTAGGCCGTGTTCTAGGTGCTTGGGAAATACCAGGGAACAACAGGGACAAAGATCCCCCACCTCATAGAGCTTATATTCCAGCAGGGGCAGCATAATACACAAGTTAAATGGTCTGTTAGAAAGTGATGCCTGCCGTGGAAAATGAGTAGAGCCAGGGGAGGGGACAGATTACGGCATGAAATAGGGCAGTCGGGATGGCCTCACTAGAAAAGACACGTCTAGCTAATCACCTAAAGGAGGTCAGAGGAAGGGAGTCCCTGGTGAGAGGCAGGGGCCTGCGGGTGAGAGTCACCCAGCGTGTTAAAGGGCAAGTGAGGGGGCCAGTGGCCGGAGCCGACTCAGTGAGGTCAGAGGAGTAGGCGAGGTCGGAAAGGTCACGAGAGGGGAGGGGCGCAGGTCATGGAGAAAGTGCTAGGCCACAGAAGGACTCTGGTTCTCGCTGTGAGTGAGATGGGGGCCCTGGGAGTTTGGAACAGAGGAGCGGCGTGCACTGACTCACATTTCTAAAGGAGTGCTTGGCTCCTGTGTTGAGAGCAGACTCCTGGGCAAGGGAGGGGCATGGAGGCTTGTTCAGGGGAGAGGTGGTGGGGGCAGCGTGGAGGCAGTGAGGATGTCCCAGACTCTGGATATGCTTCGAAGGTGGCGTGAATCAGGGCTGGTGATGGAAGGAAGAGCGAGGAGTCAGGATTAGTCCAGAGTTTCTGGCCTGAGCGGTGGAGGGGGAGTTGACTTTTGCTGTGAGACGGGACACCTGCAGGTGGGAGGGGGTTTGTGGGGAGGGACAGGCTTCAGGACTGGCCGTATTAATTCTGAGATGTCTGAGTGAAGGTGTGCAAGTAAGCAGCTGGACGTTTGAATCTGGAACTTAGAGGTCTGTATCAAAGATATACTTTAGAAAATCACTGGCGTGTAACAGTAGATGATATTTAAAGCCAGCACCAAGGGAGTGAGATGCTCTAGAGAAGGGATCTGAGCACTGAGCCCCGAGGTCCAGGAGATGTGAGTACTGGGTGAAGGCAAGTTCCACAGAGCCATGCACTGTAGACGCAAATCGGGCTTTCCTGGGGAAACTTAGAAGCGGAGGGCCAGCCGCTGAATGAAGCTTTGGGTCGTCCATCCCGTCTCCCATCGTCATTGTCATCGTGTGGAGAGAGGTGCAGGGGTCGGGGCATGGCCCGAAACATCCTGGGGTGTGCTCCAGAAGAGGGACTCACGACTCTCCTTTTCTAAAGGAAAATGTCAGGACACATAAGGCAAGTGTGAGGTCAGCCTTGCAAGGCAAGAAAAACTGGTCTGAGCTCAGGCACCGGGGAACTGCTTGCAGTGCTGAGGGCACCTGGAGACCCGGGAAGTGGAGACCATGTGCAATCATTTCTGCTTTGGGGAGGGGAGCCCGCTTTGGAGCCCACCTGCTGTCTCACGGCTAAAACCTGGACTGAGCCCCCAGGGTCATCCGATAGAATACAAATAGTTTTTCCAAGATACGTCCCCTGACCTAGGGGCTCATCAAACATCAACAGAGAGACAATAAACAATAGGGGTAGGAATCAACGGGGCTTATAGTGGGATTTCCAGTGGTTGTGGGCAATGCCAGAGGAGACACTGTAGAAGGAGGGAGGCCTGGAGTAATAGTACAAAGCCCATGATGGAGGCCCGAGCATCTGGCCATGGAGGCCATGCCCAGCCTGAGGAAAGAGCCTGAGGTTCAGACAGAGGAGTGGCCTGGAACCATGGGGCTTGCTCCTGCAGTAGCTGCGTGGGCTTCTGGACTCGGCCAAAGGTGTTAACCTGGAAGCAGCAGGGGATATTGTCCAGTGTGGCTACTCCCCTGGCTGGCCAGCAAGTGGTCCAAAGCTAAGTGGTTATCCAGCATAACCTGAGCTCGGGAGTCACGATAATCTTCTTGGCAGTGAGAACCCGGGCTGTCCCCATGGGAACTTCCTTCAGGATAGCTGAGCAGTTGTGGATCATGGTTCTACCATCTGTGGGAGGAAAACCTGCATAAAATGGTATTAAGTACAAGGAATGTCTTGTCAATGGCACCAGAGGCTGGGGCTGGGAATACTGCCCAATAGAACCCACACGTCCTGGGTTATTGTGAGGGCTCGTACGCAGGCAGCACTATGTCCAAGAAGAAAGCAAGGAAGGACCTACATCCAGAGCACAAAACAGCCGTGGGATGCAAAGGGCACTGCTCAATATTCTGCCAGCGGGCCTCAACGTCATCCATGCAGGGGCTGGGAACAAGCTTGTGGAGGTCCAAGATACAGCAGTTGGTGGCTGTGGCCAGCTAGGAGCAATGCCCTTGCCATTGTCAGAGAGTGAGTCACTGATAAGGTCTCCCGTAACCGGGTACGGTGGGCAGGGGTGGGGGTGATGGTACATTCAGTACTGTGATATGTTCCTGCCATGGGCCCTGGTTGGGCAACTGTTAGAGGCTGTTCTGCATTGCCTGTCCAGATCCAGAGGAGGAGGGGAGGGGTTCTTTACCCCTCCACCCCGGTCTGTTTCCTGAGATTACTTGCATATGTACTTGCTAGAGCAGCTGGGGCCTGTCATGCGCCTGGGGTGAGCCAGATGATCTGTCCTTTCTTAGAGCATCGACCTCCAGAGGAGCCCAGGAGTCACCATTCTCCTGACACACAGGTGTCCCCTCCCCCTCATAGGTGCCCGGAAGATGATGGGGGAGCGGCTGATGTAGCTGCTCCTTGACCCAGCCATACCAAGGCTTAATTGTAGGTGGCAAATGTGGAAGAACAAGCGAATTCCATGTTGACAGGGCCCACAGCTGGGGAACAACAGCTGTAAACAGAGCTCCATCGTCAGCTTGTATCATATCAGGAAATTCTAGCATGTGACAAAGGTGCTCATGAGAGCCCCGAGTCCAGGTGAAACCCTCTTGGTGGAAGAAAACAGCCACCCCACAGCCTAAACCAGGTCCACGGTGGTCAGAATCCACTGCAACCAATTTGCCAATTGTGAACCAGTCAGATCCCCAGGCCAACATTTCTGGCAAGTAATACGTATTCCCTGAGCACCAGTGACTTCCTAGGTCAAACGGATCTTCATTGGGCCACCTCAGATCTCCATGATGGCTTTGCTATTGCAGCAGGTCCAGGCATGGATCTAGGGCACCAGAGTGCATGTGACAGCCACAGGGTCTTGATCAGCTTTCTGCATCCTGATGCTCTCTTCAGGATGCAGTGCCTTATTGTGGGCTTGTTCATGTCACATGCGGATTGAGTTTGTGGCTGAATTGCTGTGTCTGTTTCCACAGCAGGGGTTACAATATGGGTATTCTCCTAATGGTCCAGTTCTAGGTGGTCCAAGGACCTCACCATTCAGCAAGACCATTAGCAATGGCCTGTGAAGCTGGGTAAAAGGGCCTATCTGTCAAGGTGTCAGCAGGATATAGGGAACCCACAAAGATAGTGCAGTACCCCTGGCTGGTAAGTGAGAGGATGCTACCAGCCCTGGGCCCAAAGGGAAACTGGAAGAAGAAAGTCTTGTAGAGAGAGGCTCCCTGGGAGCAAGAGTGACCTTCTGTGAAGGGACCCAGCCAGCCCTAAGCCAGCCTGAGGCAACCCCACAGAAGACAGCTGGGAGAATAAGTACCTCAACCTCCTCCTTCCCTCTGACCTCTGCCAGGGATCCCCATTGGCCAAACCCAACTGGAAGCCACAGGGCAAAGGAAGCTAACGATACAGCCCATGCAGGTTGGACCCATGGCAGAAAAGGCAGGAGAAGGATGGAAAGTGGACCTGGACGGGCAAAGAGCAGGTATCTAACACACAAGGAGGGTTGTGATTTTTAAATATGGAGGTCACGGGAGTCCTCACTAAGAAGAAACGTTTGAGCACAGACCTGAGGGCGTGTCGTACTTCATCTAACCCTCACAACAGTCGGGGAAGCTGGTGGTGTTATTCTCCCTGTTTTACAGTGGAGGAAACTGAGATGCAGCAAGAATAAACAACTTTGAGTTGTCCAAGTTCACACAGCTGGGAGTTCATCGACGTGGGGTTTAACCCCAGGCTGTTAGGCTCCAGAGATCCTACTCTTAAACGAGAGAGGATATAGGAGAGTCATCATAAAATGAGAAGGCCGAGAAAATGTCAGGACACATAAGGCTGTGATCAACAATCATCCATGTTATTTATTGAGCACCGACTGTATACCAGCCGCTGTGTTGGGTGCCATGGGGGATATACAGATGAAGATGAGGCTGTGCTTGACTTTAAAGAGCTTATAATCTAGTTAGAGGGTGGGGAGGAACATAGAAATGTGTACAAATCAAATCCAGCAGACTGTGATACATTCTACTGTAGAAATACAGAAAAAATGCTGGGAGAGCCCTAAGGAAAGAGATGCCTCACAGCTGGCTGGAGGGGAGCTTCCTGGAGGTGGTGACTTTGGACGAGGTGAGTCACCCGGGGTCCCACAGTGAGGTACCGATTTCCTTCCCACCGCTCCTGATGGGGGAAAGTCTCAGATTGGTGCTGGCAGATCTTTCAAACTCTAACACTTGCTAATCTCCTTTTTTAAGCCAAAATTCAGGCTCAGATCCTTCCGTGGGCAACCAAGCTCTAGCTGGAACTTAATAACATTGTTTTGTTTTCATTGTCTTTTTTTTTGACAGTTATGATCTATTTCAGACAAGTGATACTTTTCTTAATTTACAGATAAATTATTTATTTTATTATTATTTTCCTTTACAGATAAATTTATTTAAGGAAAAAAATCATGGATTTAAAGGGAAAATATAGAGTTAAGCTTTCAGGTGGTTCATGGCTATGGCCAAAATTTACAAGGGTGGTGGTGCACCAATGACAGATGTTTAGGATACTCTGGCATAGGGTATAAAGCATGTGAGAGGGCAAAATCGGGGGGAAAGGCTGGAAAGGTGGTCAGATCATGGAAGGCCTGATCAACACAGTAAGGAGTGTGGCTTTTATTCTGTTAACCATGGCGAGGTGTTTGGTCAAGAACAGGCAGAGAGGATGCCCAGAGCCGTGCCGGGCTGGGCTTGCCCTGGCCTCTGAGTGCTGGGTGACGGGGAGTCTAGGGGCTGGGACAGCACTGGGGAGGTTGCTGTAAGAGTCAAGGTGAACAGGTATAGGGCCGTGGACCAGGGTCAAGGTGGCCCAACTGAAAGAGAGGGAGGGCTGGGTTCTAGAGCCCACCAGGTGTGTCATAGGGTGCCCATCTTCCTCTACTTTATATGTGGGATGCCTGCCACAGCATGGCTTGACGAGCAGCACATAGATCTGCGCCCGGGATCTGAACCGGTGAACCCCAGGCCGCCGAAGCAGAACGTGCAGACTTAACCACTGCACCACCGGGCCGGCCCCAGGACAGACTTCTTTTCCAGAGGCGACGGACCTTACAGCCTCCAATCCTCCTCTCCAGCGTCATTTACTAAGAAAATTCAATAGTCTCTGAGTGGGTTTTACTGAGTAAAGGTAACATCAGAAGAGGCCAACCCACGCCCGTCTCTCCGGCCTCGTTAGGGGGAATTGGAAGTGCAATCAGAGACGATGGAGAAAATGGACTTGTGCCTCTTTATCCTGTATTTCCCCATGGGAAAAGTCCGCTGTCGGCCCGATCTCTTGTGGTGATCCAGTTTATTCCATACAATGAACATCTGGTTTTCTAAGACCTTCAGCTTCATTTCACTGAACATAAGCCGTTCGAGGATCTTGTCCTGGAGGGCAAAGCATGCATGCAGTCTCTCCATTTCTTTTGTGTTCATGAAGTTGCTGTTGGGCTTGGCTTCGGGCATCTGTGACTTCTCTGCCTTTTCCTAAACTCCCCACCACCACGAAAAGAGGAAAAGTTGGTTAATAATGATAGTCCCTTCCCAGGCCAGGTGATTTATAAATGTCAACTTAAAAGAGTCTCACAACCAGCCTGCAAGGAGAGCATCTTTGCCACGTCTTGTGGATGAGACAACTGGGCCCACTGAGGGAGGGTCCCTTTCTCAGCATCACCCAGCCTTTGTGGGAGCCCCAAACCCCCAGGACCCACAGTTGCCTTTGGTTCATAGGAATAAATGAAATGGCCCGCTAATCTGTTGTCACGGAGGATACAAAACCCTCAACCCAAACATGCCTGTATGTGGAGCTTGCACTTTTCCCAGTGTGCCTCTCTGGGAGTTTGGTCAGGCCTCGTAAAATCTCCAAATGCCGTGTCTTGGTGGTCTCGTGACATGCTCTAATCTCCGCAATCCTCAGCCACCTCTCACACATTTAATAGCAACACTTAATTTTTTTCTTTTTGGATTCAGTGGCAAAATCCTGGTCTTTAAAATCATCTAAATATTAAATATTTCAGACATCTGAAGAAGGTAAATATTGCAACAAATCTCCATGTTCCCACACCAGCTTAAGAAATAAAATATCACAAATGTAATTGAAGACTCCTGTGGATACCTCTCCTAGAGTGTTCCCCTGAAACAGAGAACTAAGGAGTTAAAAAATCTTCCCTAGGGGCCGGCCTGGTGGCACGGGCAGTTAAGTTTGCACGTTCCAGTAGCTGGAGGTTCGCTGGTTCAGATCCCGGGTGCGGACATACACACTGCTTGTCAAGCCATGCTGTGGCAGGCATCCCACATATAAAAAAAAGCAGAGGAAGATGGGCATGGATGTTAGCTCAGGGCCAGTCTTCCTCAGCAAAAAAAAGAGAAAAATCTTCCCAAGAGCAAAAACTTTGAGATAAGATTTGCTGGCTGCAGCTACACATACTCAACATAATCAACTGTTATTCAAAACTAACCAGGTCTTTCTGTCCCTCCTTAGTATATGAGTGAGCTGTCTTTCTCAGAAAGTCAAGGTCCAGACATCAAGATTCAGCCTTACAAGGCCAAATACAGGCTGAAGATGAAAACCAATCAGAACACTGGGGCCAGCCCAGTGGCATAGTGGTTAAGTTCTGCATACTCTGCTTTGGTGGCCCAGGTTCTTGGGTTCAGCTCTCTGGTGTGGAACTACACCACTTGTCAGCTATGCTGTGGCAGCATCCCACATACAAAATAGAGGAAGATTGGCACAGATGTTAGCTCAGGGTGAATCTTCCTCACCAAAAAGAAAAAAGAAAAGTCCAGATAACCAAGGACCCACACCTGCAGGTTCCCTTATTGCCCCCTCTCTCCACATAATCACATTCCTCACAACCTTTAAACCCCCTTGCCTCCCGTCTTTCGGGGAGACAAATTTGAGTGCTTCCTCTCATCTCCCAGCTGATGTCATCCAAGATAATAACCCCCTTTCCCTGCCACAAGCCTGGTGTTTCAGAGTTTTTCTCTTTATTGGCCTTCCTGTGCGATGGATAAGTGAACCTGTGTTTGTGTTCGGTAACACCCCACCCTCCCTGAACCTCCTCTCAACTGCAATCCCGAATTTCGTATTTATTTTTTCTAGGCATTTCTCTATACCAGTAGTTCTCAATGAGAGGCTATTTTGCCCTCCCCAGGGGACATTTGGCAATGTCGGGAGACATTTTGGTTGCCACAAAAGGGGTGAGGGGTGCTATTGGCATCTTGTGGGCAGAGGCCAGGGATGCTGCTAAACATCCTACAATGCACAGGACAGTCCCCACAATAAAGAATTATCTGACTCAAAATGTCAATCTTGTGGAGGTTGAGAAATCCTGCCTTAATCTGCTTTCACTATACATATGCATCCATAAACAAGGCAGGGCATTGTTTTGTATGTTTTTAAACTTTATATAAAAAAAGATGTCAAAATCTAGGTACATTTCTGCTATCTTGATCATTCTGTTTCACAGATGTATCTACGTCTATGTTCTACGTGTATCTTTAGTTCATCCATTTTAATGTTTTCCACTTTACAGTAGTTGTTAGTGTTGCCAAAGCATGTTGACATCAAACGTGAAGCGGGAGGGAGAGTCCGAGATGGTCTCTGTTTGACAGCGGAGGCAACTGAAGCCATGTGAAATGCCCTTCATCATCCAAGAGGGGGCTGCAGGGCTGGGACTTAGACCAGAGTCATGGATTCCTCAGTCTTGCCCCATTATCCTGACCCCTACCCTGTCCCTCCACCCTCCCATCTAGCTGGAAATAGCCCATCCCCCTCAGCTGAAGCTAAGGCCCCTCTCGCTCACCTGCTGGGGCTCTGCGGGGGTAAGCTTGAGCTCATACTTGACCAGCCAGTTGCTGAGCAACAGCAGAAGGAATAGGAAGCCAAACAAGGCTGGCTTATAGCTGATCAGCCAAGCCACCAACGCTCCTATGGTGCCTGAAGAAGCAAGCATTCCGTGGAGAGTTCTGAAAAGAGACATCAGTTCCCCCAGCATTATGGCTTAGAGGCACCCAGGCCCCGGGACCCTGCCTCAGTGCCCCTTCTGGGACAGTTGCCCTCCATGACAAGAGTCACGGCCACCCCCTCCTCTGAGTTATAACCAGCTCGCCTCCCCCAGCTGCCGCATAACAATATTAGCCACTCCTATGTCTTAAGCGGCCACTATGTGCCAGACTTTGACAGTTTGCAAGCATCGCCTCATGACGTCCTCACAAGAGCCAGCTGATGTAGGCCTTAGTGACACTTCATTCATTCAACAGTACTGCTGGGCCTAGCCACTGGGAGTAAAACAGCCAGCAATACAAAGCCACTACTCTCATAGGGAGGGAGACTGCAAATAAAAATTATCCAAAATTTGAAAATAAGGCCAAAAGATTACTGCGAGCTCATTCACAGTCACACCAGAATGTTGTCGAACTGGCCCACCTGTTGGTCACCTGATGCTTTAGGGGAAGGGAACTTTGACTCACTCTTTAATATTGATTAGCATTCTGACTCTGTAAAGTCAGGTGTTAGCTTTTTAAAAACATAAGTTGCTGTAGCAATCCCAATTCTGGGTACACATCCAAAAGAATTGGATGCAGGGTTTTGAAGAGATATTTGCACTCCCATGTTCATAGCAGCATTATTCACGATAGCCAAAAGGCAGAAGGAACCCAAATGTCCATCAGTGGATGAATGGATAAACAGAACTTTGTACATACATACAATGGGAATTATTCAGCCTTTAAAAAGGAAGGAAATTCTGACACATGCTACAACATGGATGAACTTTGAGGAAAGCATGGTAAGTGAAATAAGCCAGAGACATAAAGACAAAAGCTGTTTGATTCCACTTACATGAGATATCTAGAGTGGTCAAATTCATGGAGACAGAAAGTAGGATGGTGGTTGCCAGGGGCTGGGGGCAGAGGGGAATGAGTTGTAGTTTCATGGGTGTAGTTTTATGAGATGAAAGAGTTCTGGAATTGTTTGTACAATCATATGAACGTACTTAACACTAATGAACTGCACATTTAAAAATAGTTAAGATGGTAAATTTTATGTTATGTGTATTTTACTGCAATTTAAAAAATTCAAATGAATTAGTTATTTCTGGGGAAAAAATGGGTAAGTTGCAAATGATTTTTTTTTTTTTGGCAAATACATGCAAATAAGTTTTGTTGGATAGAAAAGATAACCCCCAAATTTACAGCTTTATGGACTTAGAGGACATTAACCGTTTTTTTCTTATTTAACTTTGCAATCTTATTCCAGCATTCTGTTTTCCACTGACTAGTGACTATACATGTTTCTCATATTTTCTTTTGAACCAGCTTTATCGTCTTACGGGTTCTCTCAATAATGAGTTAAATAAATCTTTGATATAGGCTCACTATTTTGTATGGGAATTCTTTATGTTCAAATGTCAATTTCAGTGGCTATGATATTCTAATATATTCAATTAACTGCCACTTGTTGGGCCTTTAGGTTAGTTCTCCTTTATTGTTATTATATATAATCCGAGATAAATACCACTGAGGTTAAATCTTTGTACACGTACTTAAATATTTCCCTAGGATGTTTTCCTGAAGGGGAATTGCTGGGTCAAAGGATACATATATTTTAAAAATCTAATTTTAAATTTTATCAAATTATTAAGTGTGCAAACAAGTTAGATAGAACGACAGAGTTTAAAACAAACAAGCTTTGATCACCTGTGTCCCCCTGTCACACCCTCACATTCTGCAACTCAGACAACCAATTCCAGCCCTTTTAGCTGTTTCTTCTGATACCTACCTTCCTACATCTAAATAGTATGCTTACACCGTTATTTCTGGATTTCTCAATTTTGACATTATCTATTATCTTTTTATGATGGAAGATGAGGATTTAGCTCCCAGGTGGAACCTCTCCCATTCCCACTTCATCCCCCCTCCCACAAACCCTCTCACCCCTCTCCTCCACATACTTTCTCTTTTTTCCATTCTCTCAATTTAATTCTATCATTTTGGTTAAAATAATATTCATTGCTTATGTTATTACAGCCACGTAGTTCACAGCCGAGCCATATGTTATACTATGATAACTCTTTCTTGCACAGCTTCTAGTTTTCCTGGACTTAATTGCCTCTTTTTTTCTGTTTGCCTAGATAAAAAAAAAATAATTCAACTTCATCAAAGTACAATTGACATAAAATATACTTATTTTACCTGTATAGTTCAAGAATTTTTTCACTAATGTATACACCACCCCAATCAAGATACGAAATATTTCCATCACCCCCAGCGCGTTCTCTCCTGCTCTCTCGCAGTCAACCCGGACCCTCATCCCAGCAACCACCGGTGGGATTCTATCACTAGAGAGTAGCTTTACCAGTTCTCGAACTTCATATAAATGGAATCATTTTTTGAAAATTATACTTTGAAGAGACAGACAAGTGAAAAAGCAATTATGGTCCTGTGACCTAAGTGGAAATAAGCTTGAAGAACACGGGCGAGTTCCAGCCTTGGGTCAGTGAAGGATTCGCGGAAGAATTAAAAGTATTCCACCACCACCATCAGAATCATTAGAAAGAATTAACCTGCAATAGAAAGAGAGGTTCTATATGTGGGGGTGGGGAGCACAGGGATTGGGAGGAGGTGCCAGCGAGGAAGTGAGAACGGGGAAGGGGTCCAGGCGGAAGGAAGAGCTTGAACAAGCCTTGGAGGCAACAGCAATCCCGTTGGACCCGTTTGGATTTCTTTGCTTCTGTCCATTTTATTACCACCAAACTCATTTGCTCTCCAAGGTTTCCCCAGTCCAAGCAGGACGATATGAATATAAGTAAGATGATCTACCAGGTCCAGATCAGTGTTTACCCCTCACGAGACTGTATAACTCTTCTTTAAAAATTTTTAAAATTTATTTATTTATTTATTTATTTTTTGCTGAGGAAGACTGGCTCTGAGTTAACATCCATGCCCATCTTCCTCTACTTTATATGTGGGAGGCCTACCACAGCATGGCTTTTGCCAAGCGGTGCCCACATGTCCGCACCCGGGATCCAGGTCGGCCAACCCCGGGCCGCTGAGAAGCGGACCGCGAGCACTTAACCGCTGGGCCACCGGCCCAGCCCCTGTAAGCTCTTTGAAAGCAAAAACTTCATAATTAAACGCTTGTCGCATGGTAAGCATTAAGAAGTTTTGGTTGAATTGACGGATGGGTAGGTGGATGAATGAAGGAATGAATGAAATTATGAATGCGTGGAAGTCCCTGGAGGAGACGGTGGCCCTCGGAGATGCGGTCCGGCCCAGAAGCCCTAGGATCCGGACACCGCTGGGGCAGTCTCGGAGGCCAAGGAGACGCTCTAGGAAAGCAGCGCGCTCTCTGCCGCGGCGCCGCTCTAGCCGCGAGGACGCCGCTCTATGGCGGCGGGGGAGGGCGGGCAGCGGGCGCCTCGGCCTTTTTGTCCCGACGCCGCGGGAGCGCGCTCGGCGCGTGCGTGCGCGGCGGCGGTTGGCGGCGCGCGGACTGCGTGAGGCGAGGCGACGCGGCCCCGGCCCCACGGACCGACGGACCGAGCGGCCCCTGCGGCCGTCGGCGGCCAGGCGGCCCGAGATGTTGTCTGGGAAGAAGGCGGCGGCGGCGGCGGCGGCGGCAGCGGCGGCGGCGGCGGCGGCCGGGGCGGAGGCCGGCTCCGGGGCCGCGGGCGGCGCGGAGAACGGCTCGGAGGTGGCCGCGCCGCCCGCGGGCCTGTCGGGCCCTGCCGAGGGCGGGCCGGGGGCGGCCGGGGAGCGCACGCCCCGCAAGAAGGAGCCTCCGCGGGCCTCGCCGCCTGGGGGCCTGGCCGAGCCGCCGGGATCCGCCGGGCCGCAAGCCGGGCCTACCGTGGTGCCTGGATCTGCGACCCCCATGGAAACGGGCATCGCGGAGACTCCGGAGGGGCGGCGCACCAGCCGGCGCAAGCGGGCGAAGGTGAGCCCGACCCCCGCCCTCCAACCGCAGCCCCGGGGCCCCGCTTCCCCGGGTTGTCCAGCCCGGCCGCCCCCCGGGACCCCGCTCGTGGTCCCCCGCCCACCCGGACCTCCCATTGGCTGGCTGGGGGCGGGGTTGGGGTAGGGGGGGCTCTCCGCCTGCGGTCCCCGCGGCCTTTGTGCGGGGCCCGGGCCGCCCTGGGCAGGGGGACGGATGGGCGGGGCGTGTTATTCCTCTCGCCCTGTGCCCCTCTTCGTCGTCTTGTCTGGGAAAGATGGCTCCCCGACGTGGAGTCACGGCTGGCGTTGTCGGAGACAGCCCTTGTGCCGCCCCAGCTGTGTCTGGACGCGTTTCCGCTGGGAGCACCTCGGGGCTGCGGGGTGATGCTCAAGACGCGGCCTTAGCCGAGGACACCGGAAAGGAAGGGACGTTTTATCTTGCGCCCTTGCTGTGTACTAGGAGTTCTGCCCTTTTCCCCAGCGATCTTTGGGCGTAGGTTTTTACAGGTGAGGAAGCCGATTAAGAGGGCTCGTATTCATTAGTCAAGGTGCAAATATAAGGCGAGGAGAGGATTTATCACAGAACAGTGTGTGCAGACAGTAGCTGCCTCGCGTCTCTGGGCGCCAAATGCCGTGTTCACAGTGTCACCAACGTCTTATTTTTGCTAAACACGGACGGGCAGCTGTTGTTAGCCCCATTTTAGGGGTGAGTAAACTGAGGCACACAGTTTAAGCAGCTTCCCCAAAGTCACACAGCTAGGTAAGTGGTGGAACTGGAATGTAAGCCCTACAGTTAGGCTGGGATAGGTGGCACCAGCCTGTGAAACAAAGGACCACATGGGACACCAACAGTGCGGGGCGCCAGGGCAGCACGAGGGCACAAACCTTAGACTTGGGCCTTTTCTGGAGATTTCATGGTCCAGTTGAAAAAACTGGAAATATATATACATGTGATTTTTAAATAAGTATTTTAAATCGTGCAGTTTGTGTAATTTATGGATAGAATGAGTTTTCTACCTATATATAGTTTTTAAGTGGGGATGCCGAGTCAGTGTGTATGAGGAGCTTCTTGAGATGAGCATTACCCAGACTGAGCACCTTCAGATTGAGCTGCCCACTTGAGAGATTTCTCTCCGAGAATCAATACGCTGTGCTGAGTAAAAGGAGGAAAGGTTTGGGGGCCTTTTACGGAAGCATGGGTTAGAGCAGAGATTGGTGATTCCCCTACCCTCGGAAATGAAATAGAGGGCAGAAGCCCAGGAGGGTTTTTATTTTACTGTTTCAATAGAAGATGTGGCCAGAAGCCATGTGATAGTTTGTAAAAACAGGTTTATAAAGATAATTCACGTACTATAAAATTTATCATTTTTTAGTGTACAATTCAGTGGTTTTTAGCATATTCACATAGTTGTGGCAACCAGCACCACAGTTAATTTTAGGGCATTTTTCATCACTCCCAAAAGACTTGGCAGTCACTCCGCATTCCCCGTTACCCCCAGCCACTGGCAGCCACTAATTTACTTTGTGTCTCTGGATCTGCCTATTCTGGACATTTTATATAAATGGGATCATATACTATGTGGCCTTTGTGTCTGGCTTTAGCATGTTTTCAAGGTTCCTCCATGTTGTAGTACTTCCATTTACTACTTGATAACTATGGCCAAATGATATCCCATTCTATGGATATACCGCATTTTGTTTATCCATGCATCATTTGATGGACATGTGGGTTGTTTCTACTTTTTGGCTATTATGAAGAAAGCTGCTGTGAATATTTGTGTACAGTTTTTTGTGTGAACATATGCTTTCATTTCTCTTGGATATATACCTGGGAGTGGAATTGTTGGGTCGTATGGTATCTCTGTGTTTAACTTTTTGAGGAACTGCCAGTTTCCCACAGCAGCAACACCATTTTACATTCCCACCAGCAGTGTATGAGGATTCCAATTTCTCCCTGTCCTTATCGACACTTGATAATGTCTGTCTTTTTATTATAGCCATCCTAGTGGATGTGAAGTGGTATCATTGTGGCTTTGATGTGTATTACCCTAATGATGTTGAGCATCTTTTCTTGTGCTTATTTACCATTCGTATATCTTTGGTGAAATGTCTGTTCAAATCCTGGGCTCATTTTTAAATTGGGTTGTCTTTTTTATTATTGAGTAGAGTTCTTTATATATGTGATTACAGAAGTTTTAAATTTTGATGTCCAGTTTATGTGGTTTTTTTCTTTTGTCTGTTTCGCTTCTGGTATTATATCTAAGAAACCACTGCCTAAGCCAGTGTCATGGAGATTTACTCCTGTGTTTTCTACTAAGAGTTTTATAGGTTCAGGTCTATGATCATTTTGGAGTTAATTTTTGCATATGGTATGAGGTAGGGGGTCAGCTTCATTCTTTTGCGTGTTGATATCCACCTGTCCCAGCACAATTTGTTGAAAACTCTTCTCTTCCACTTTGAATGGTTGGTTCCCTGTTGATTGACCATAAATGTAAGGGTTTATTTTTGAACTCTTGGTTCTATCCCATTGACATATACTTCTGTCCTTATGTACCACACTGACCGGATTACTGTTGCTTTGCAGTTAAGTTTTGAAATCAGAAAGTGTGAGCTCTCCAACTTTGTTCTTTTTCAAGATTGTTTTGGCTATTTGGTGTCCCTTGCATTTCCATGTGAATTTTAGGATCAGTTTATCAGTTTCTGCAAAAAAGGTAGCTGAGATTCTGGTTGGGATTGTGTTGAATCTGTTGATCAATTTGGGGTATGCTATAAGATTTCTGTCTTTGTAATTCTCCTGTTTATTTTAATTCCTGTTATCCTGTTTTTCCATTGAGATTAGCTCTGAAACTCTCAAAAGAGAAATGGGTTATGTGTTTATTTTGGGCAGCAACTGGAAAGTAAGGAACTAGAGAAACTGACCTATTCATGGCCGGTCTTAAGAGCCAGAGGAAACAGACCTCAAGGGAGTAAAAAGCAAGCTGAGTCCAGCATAGACAGGCCTTGCTTTAGGAAGTTCTGAGGTGTATACAGGGGATATATCTATATTTTATGGCCTGGGAGCTTATTCAGTTTTGGGACTCCTTTTTAAAAAATTGTATGTGGGGACTGGCCCCGTGGCCGAGTGGTTAAGTTTACACGCTCCGCTTCGGCGGCCCCAGGTTTTGCCAGTTCGGATGTTGGGCGGGGACATGGCACCGCTCGTCAGGCCATGCTGAGGCGGCGTCCCATATAGCACAACCAGAGGCACTCACAACTAGGACATGCATCTGTGTACTGGAGGGCTTTGGGGAGAAGAAGGAGGAAAAAAAGATTGGCAACAGATGTTAGCTCAAGTGCCAATCTTTAAAAAAAAAATTGTGTGTGTGTGTGTGTGTGTCTGATTACTTATGTAATCAAAATTAGGTTCAGGGTATTGGGAGTCAATGCACTTGAGGGTCCCTGAAGCTTAAGTTTCATTGGGTTCAGAATAAATTCACCTCTCTGTGTGCTAACATGGCAGAATACTTAAGGTGTGAAATTGATAAATTGGGTTGGGACTTTAGGAATGCCACACAGCTTCAGGAATGGCAGCTTTGAGCTGGGCCTTGAAAAAGGGTAGAATTTAGAAAAGTTTTCTGGAAAACGATGGACTTTTGGAGTTATTCTTCCTGTGATTCGTTTTCCTCAGGAAAATAAACCCTACCTTGTAAGGTTATTAGGTTTAGATATAATGTAAACAAAATGCTTATTGCAGTGTCTGGCATATAGTAAGTAGGTGCCCAGTAATTAAGTACTACCGGTGGAGAAAAGGAAATGAAAAATGCTTGGACTATAATACAAAGTGGTTTGAGAAGCAACAGGGAGTCCAGAGTGGACAAGTGAACATTGAGCACAGTGAGCAAGTGAATTTAATTGGAAGTGAGGTTTTTCTAGGAGCATGATAAATTGGAGGGATCAGTAGTGTTCGGGTTGTAAAGCTGTATCTAGGTTGCAGAGAGCCGAACACTACGTCTGTGCTGTCCAGTGTGGTAGCCGCTAGCCACATAAGGCTTTAGAGCACTTACTGTGTGGCTAGTATGACTGAGGAAACTGAATTTTTTTTTTTTTTAAAGATTTTATTTATTTCCTTTTTCTCCCCAAAGCCCCCCGGTACATAGTTATATATTTCAGCTGTGGGTCCTTCTAGTTGTGGCATGTGGGATGCCCCCTCAGCGTGGCTTGATGAGTGGTGCCATGTCCGTGCATAGGATCCGAACCGGCAAAACCCTGGGCCGCCGAAGCAGAGCGCGCAAAGTTAACCACTCGGCCACGGGGCTGGCCCCATAGCAAACGGAATTTTTAAGTTTAATTTAAACTTAAATAGCCACATGTAGCTAGGGCTACCTTGTTGGAAGCACAGATGCCGAACATTTCCATTATCACAGAAAATTCTGAGACAGCGCTGCACAAGACTATGAAGTGCAGACCGTGAGTGCACTGAGAATTCAGAGAAAGGAAAGATAGGTTTATGGATTTGGAATCGTCAGGGAATAATTTGTGGAGGAGGTGGGCCTTGACTTTTCGGCAGTGGATTACCGGAGAAAGCGGGGAGTAGCTTCTGGCGAGTTGAGGGATGGGGAGAACAGCAGCAGTGAGGAGTTTTGTTGTTGTTGTTGTTGTTTTTGCTTGCTTTTTTTAAAGATTTTGTTTTTCCTTTTTCTCCCAAAGCCCCTGGTACATAGTTCTGTATTTTAATTGTGGGTCCTTCTAGTTGTGGCATGTGGGACGCCGCCTCAGCGTGGCCTGACGAGCGGTGCCATGTCCGCGCCCAGGACTCGAACCGGCGAAACCCAAGTGGAGTGCGTGAACTTAACCACTCCACGGACCGGCCCCGCATTGAGGATTTTTTTTTTTTTTTTTTTTTAAGATTTTATTTTTTCCTTTTTCTCCCCAAAGCCCCCCGGTACATAGTTGTGTATTTTTCGTTGTGGGTTCCTCTAGTTGTGGCATGTGGGACGCTGCCTCAGCGTGGTCTGACGAGCAGTGCCATGTCCGCGCCCAGGATTCGAACCGACGAAACACTGGGCCGCCTGCAGCGGAGAGCGCGAACTTAACCACTCGGCCACGGGGCCAGCCCCGCATTGAGGATTTTTTGACTAGCGTGTTAGAAAATGATTAGAGGTAAATTTGCGTAGTTAAAGCCAGAGAGTTTGTATGCTAGTTTGAAAGATTTGCATTCATCAGTTAAGCTATCTGAAAATACGTATTTAGAAAATGAATCTGGCATTTGTGCCCTAGGTGAATTAAAAGGAAGAAAGATTAAAACAAAAAAGACTGGAGCTTTAAGGTTATTGGGAAGAGAATGAATCATTGTAGCAAGGGTGTGGGAGAGAAGGGAGAAGCTAGAGATGTAAGTTTGAGAGCCTCTGTAAAGGGAAGAGTGATGACCCTGCTGACTCAGCTCTGCCTGTTGGTACATCTCTTGTCCTTGATTGTAAGTGGTTGTAGAGCCTCTGAAGTCTTTGAGGATTTTACCGAGGAATGAGAGATTCCTAATCCTCTGTGTTCGAAGTATCTGTTCCTTTTCTTCGGGGAATAGTTTTTACTTTTTAGACTTTGTATGATTCTTTTAGATGTTTTTTTAACTTTTTTCTTAAGCGGAGGAACTTTTTTACAAAATAAAACTTTATGCAAAATCCCCAAATAAAATACTTGCCTGTTTCATATTAAGAAGCTTAAATTTATAACATTTATTTTAGTTCTCAGTCTTTGAGAAAATGAGATTATTTTGATAGAGCCAAATTTGAGAATGGAGATTAAGCAAAATAGTTGTGGTATTGTTTCAGCCTCAGAATCCTCTTTTATTTCTGTATTTTGTTTATGAAATATTGTGAAGATCCAGTACTGATTGATAAGCAATGCAAAAGGTTGGGGTTTTTTTTTTTGTTTGTTTTTGTCTTTTAGCTTGCCTTGTCATCTCAGGACACTCTCTCACTTGAGCAGAGATGGCAGAATAACTTTCATTCTTAGGTTTACCCAAAATTGAGTTACCCAAACAGTACAAGTTCATGTGTTGGTCGTCTCTAAAGGATTATGGTTTGATTTAACGCATACGCATGTGTATTTATTCCTTTTAAAAATACATTTAAAAATTAATAAATGAAATCCAAAGAATCCTAGGGTTCTGTGGAACACAATTTTTTTGTTGTTGTTTTTAAATATTAGCTTTAGATATTCTTATTCCTACCTCTAGGTATTTTTCTAATTTTTTTTTTTCCTGAAAACTAAAAACACTCAGGACCAGCCTTTTCCAAGTGTATTCCTTGTTGGTAGTTATTACTTCATCAAAACATTGGATTAAACAATGTTAAAAAGATTGTTTTTGCTGCCAGACTTCCTCAGGACCTCTAATGTGCATTGTGACTCTCCTAGAGGGGGCCTGTAAAGAATGTGGTGTTTCCCAAATTTGATCTTGGATTCCTTTTTCCTCCAGAGAGCACAGTGTCTTATGGAACATCCTTTGGGAAAAGCTGAACTGCTGCAGTAGAAAGGGTCTTACTGTTTTCGCTGGTCTCAGAATTTGCACATTGCCAAGTTCCATAGTAGACACTTGTTAAGTCATTATTGATTGAAAGGATAAGGTTGATGAGCAGGGGATTAAAGTGCTGAATCTTTGGGGTAGGAAGGTGTCACGCACTGCTGAGGGGTAAAAAGAAAAGCAACTGCATACTATAAACATATGTTACATTTTCTGACCCTTCTCCCTCTTTGAAAATTTTTCCCTCCTAGCTGCTTTTTTACCAGCTGTCCTGAGGTCTATTCCTACAGTCTATCTCAGGCAAGTAGGGTGAGGTTTAGTATGTACATTTCTGGAGATTTTCTTGTGAAGTCTCTCTATGAGATGGTCACCTGATCTTTTGTTTGCAGCTGATGTTTCAGTTTACTGTGGGCAGGGAGCTTCATTCATAATCATTTTCTCCAGTGTCCCATATACTCAGTGTTCAGTATTTCATAGATGAATATAATTATTCACATGTTAAATGAGATTCTTAGAGCATGGGTCAGAACTGTTCCATTTATCCTTAATTTTTGTTTCCATTTTCTTTTTTTAAGATTGGCACCTGAGCTAACATCTGTTGCCAATCCTTCTTTTTTTTCCCCCTTTCTTCTTCTCCCCAAAGCCCCCCAGCACATAGTTAGATATTCTAGTTGTAGGTCCTTCTAGTTGTGCTGTGTGGGACGCCACCTCAACATGGCCTGAAGAGTGGTGCCATGTTCGCACCCAGGATCCAAACCGGTGAGACCCTGGGCCGCCAAAGCAGAGTGCTTGAACTTAACCACTCGGCCACGGGGTGGCCCCCTCTACTTTTTTTTTTTTGGTGTGAGGAAGATTGGCCCTGACTGTTGCCAGTCTTCCTCTTTTCGCTTGAGGAATGTTGTTGCTGAGCTCACGTCTGTGCCTATCTTCCTCTGTTTTTGCGGGCTGCTGCCACAGTGTGGCTTGATGAGCAGTGCTAGGTCTGCGCCAGGGATCTGAACCTGCGAACTGTGCGCTGCTGAAGCAGAGTGCACAGACTTAACCACGATGCCACCGGGCTGGCCCATTTCCATTTTCTAAGCGAATCCATGTTTGCAGTAAAACTCTTACCTCCCCTGGCCACTCATTCCCTGTCCCCCAAATCCTGTGGTCATGTCGTTTAAAAAAAAAGAAGTAGAAAAAGACAAATATAAAAGCAACTAGCAATCTGGAGCTATTTCAAAGATATTTCAAAAGTTACAGTAGATTACATTCATTGTAATCCACAGGACTACTCATTTCAGAAATCTAGTAAATCAGGTTTACGTGGAAGCCATGTTGTCTTTGCTCTCTCCCCACATCTAATAAATTGTTTTTATTTCTTTCATTTTATCTTTTCATTGAATCTGAAATAATCGGAGAGTTGTTTCTGTGGCTTCCTTGAATCTTTAGTAGGGTGGGAGTCACATTAACAATTTGACAGTGTTCCAAGCTTGATGACTATTTGTAATACCATATTACACGTTTGGCAAACCGGCCCACAGTAATCTTCCATATCTTAAGTTGCTTGCCCCCCCACCTCCCCGTGAAGCATTCGCTAAGACTGCTTCCTCTTTGTACTTATCACCTGGCTCTCTCCTTTCATAACTAGAGTGAATTAATTTTAAGTCTCGTAGCCTCCCTTTCCACGTCACTTACTCCTTAATATGTTGTAGTAAGGCTTCTTTGCTCTCATCATTCAGCTCTCTTAGATCACCGGTCATTGTATAAGCAAGTGTACCTTTTCATAACTTCAGTTTGACTTTTGCCATTCGCAGCTTTTATTCCCTGTCCCCACCGTCTCCCTGTTTGGTTTCTGGAATTCCTTTGCTGTTTTCCCATGGAGTAGTGATTAGAAGTACAGGCTTGGCACTGGACAGACTTGTTATTCTAGTTAACTGTCTTTTTGCCCAACTGAGGATTATTTTAGTCTTCTATTGAAACTTCCGGTATGTGGACAAGATGTATGCACACATACCTATATATACACACATACACATACATGTACACACACACATTTTTAAAAGAATTTAGAAGTTATAGAGAGCCTCAGAATCATTGATCTGAATGTCAGTACTATCATGTAAAAGTTACAGATTGGGCTAAATCTGAACTGACACAAGATTGTTTCATGAGAGATTTTGTTTTTAATTATTATTATAAACTAGCTTGTTCCGTGTTTTTTGCTTATTTCCCTTAAAATTTGAAGTTAAAAAGCAATTCACATTCACTGGTGGTTCCAAATTGAGTCCTTGATTTTCGATGTTCACTGTATTTAGCTTTCCCTGGTATAATCTCCATATAGGTAGAGTACAGAGAGATGGATGAAAGCTTGGCGAACCTCTCAGAAGATGAATATTATTCCGAAGAAGAGAGAAATGCTAAAGCAGAGAAGGAAAAGAAGCTTCCCCCACCACCCCCTCAAGCCCCACCTGAGGAAGAAAATGAAAGTGAGCCTGAAGAACCATCTGGTGAGTTGTAGTAACCAATCACAGTTCTGGATTTATTCCTATTATGTCTTTATCTGGTTTATATTCTGATACTGGCCATGTGTGTCTTAGTGTGTGTATGTAGGCATATGTACACACACACACATATACAAACATACATGCATAGTGGCACTGATAGTCTTTGTGTGTGTCTGTACATATATGGGAGGAGAGTAAAGAATGGGAGTGAAAGGATGGTAGCAGCATAAGGCAGTCGGAAAGTTGGAGAAAATAAACAATTAGAGAAAACACACAAAAAGACAAATCCAAAGAACCAAACGTCTCAGTGGTAACTTTGATTCAGAATTTAGAGATAGAATGGTTCAGAAATTATTCTGGCTAAATTTTGCATTTACCACATGGTTAGGTACTTTCTGGTAAAACCTTCACAGTGTGGGGTCAGTTTTGAGAAGGGTCTTTTCCTGGTGAACAAATACATTCTGAGGTCAAAGAGGAAAGGCCTAGGTGCCTCTTGTTTAGTTGTTGAACCCTCTGATCAAAGGAATGGTACAAGAAAAGGCTGTGAAGAGACTCTAAGCTCACACAGTCTTTCTTATGACGTGGAAGGATTATTGCAGTCTGTAGTCTTGGTTTCAGAGCTTCAAGCATCTTTAAAGAATTCTCCTTAACACCCCCCTGCCCGAGTCCTGCTGTGTTTACCTGACGAATCAGGGATGCCCTTCTGTTTTGGAGAGACCAAACAAAAGTAGAATCTTAGTTAATTTTTCATATCTTCTGTCCTTAATGGTATTTTACTAACTCTTCTTGGCTTTGAGTTTTTGCCAGGTTCGTCTCCTTAAAATGCTTTTTATATTTCCAATTGCTTCAGGCCTATTCACCTTACCAACTCTTTTAGTCATGCGCCTTTTAAAAACAAAATGCTTGTTTCAAACCCCGTTTGCTGTATCTTGCGTGACTATCATAGGTGCATATTTCATTTGAGAAGTTTTATCTTTTGTTTTAGCCTTTTTTTAAAGGTTTTTTCTCTTGTGTGATATTATAAAAATCAACAGAAGTTAATTTTATTTTTGAAAAAAGGATTATTACTGATGTATCACTTGAGAGGATTTCAAGTCAGGTGTTAATTTAAACTTAGATTTGGAACTTATGAAACATCTGGCTAAAACTCTCAAAAATAAAAATTTGTAATTTACAGTAATTGTAATAAAGTCTAATAAAAGACTACAGTTTGAGAACATTTGGAAAAGGTAGATTAGATTCCAGATTCAATTCATCTCAAGAATTGGGCTTTCTAAGAACGATTTTCCTAAAACTTTCTTAAAATGACTTCTTGGACGACTCCGTGTTGGTAGTAGTGTATCACCTTTGGGACTGATGTCCTTGAGGCCAGTGTGGCTTCTCTGTGCGTCAGCGACATCTCTCTGTTGGTGTTGGGTTTTGCCTCCTGTTTGTAGTCTTTTACGTTTGGTCTCTTTCCTTCTTTCTGTCCTCACCTCCAGCTCTTCCCTTGACTCTTCTGTGTATCTTCTCTGTGCCTTTCTCTTCTTCTGCCTTTGCTGTAGACTAGCTAATGAGATGCGTGGGAATAATCCTTTTGATAGTTGTCGTAGCTCAAGAGGCTGCTCCTGTCTTAGTTCAGGAGCTCCAGGTGTTATTCAGTAGATGATCTCGTATCTCACATGCTGCCTCTGCCTCTTTTTTGTGTGGTTGTCAGTGTTTCCAGTAAATAACTGATTTACCATAGATAGGTACCGAGCTGATACACACTTTCTTTGTCCTCTGAAAATTTTATTTAATTAATTAATTTTTTTAAAGATTGGCGTCTGAGCTAACATCTGTTGCCAATCTTTTTATTTTTCTTCTTCTCCCCTAGGCCCCCCAAGTACACAGTTGTGTATTCTAGTTGTAGGTCCTTCTGGTTGTGCTATGTGGGACACCTCCTCAGCGTGGCCTGATGAGCGGTGCCGTGTCTGAACCCAGGATCTGAACCTGGGCCGCCAAAGCGGAGCGTGCGAACTTAACCACTCGGCCATGGGGTCAGCTCCCTGTCCTCTGAAAATTTTAAACCAAATCTTAGTTTGTTTTCTTTCTCATGAAGAGGTTTTTAGTTTTTCTTTTTCTGTGAATGTCAGGCACTGTTAGCACAAAATGTACATATCTTAGCAAAGGGCCCTAGGATTTGGGGGAATGTCTTTATACTGTTACGTTCTAGTTAATTTTAATCCAGTGGTTTAATTTAAGTGTTATCTTAGTATTTTTGGAGAAAGTTAAAGTTTTGTTTCTTAAGTTTAGGATATATTCAATGCTCAGAGATGTGTTGATAACAGCCAAAACTTTCCAATATATTATTTGTACTTATGAAAATAAAGTTATTTTTCTTTTAAAGCAACTTAAAATTTTAAAAAATTCCAGGGCGAGTTAGGGAAGTACTTTTCCCAGAAAAGTAGTGGCAATTTATCGGCCTATGTAATTTAGAAATAGGTTGGGCCCTGATGGTGAATCATAAAATATTATCAGGTGAGTTCACATGTTTAGAAACTGTCCAGAGTTTCCAAATCTCTTGTCTTAAAACCAGTTCTTTGTTGTTTTTTTTTTTGAGAAAGATTAGCCCTGAGCTAACATCTGCTGCTAATCCTCCTCTTTTTTGCTGAGGAAGACTGGCCCTGAGGTAACATCCGTGCCTGTCTTCCTCTACTTTATATGTGAGACGCCTTCCACAGCATGGCTTGCCGAGCGGTGCCATGTCCACACCCGGGATCCCAAACCCTGGGCCGGCAAAGTGGAATGTGTGTGCTTCACAGCTATGCCACTGGGCTGGCCCCAGAACCAGTTCTTAGACTTGAGTTTTCACTTAAAAATTGAATGGAAGCATCGCCATGTGGATATCTTAAAATGCTGAGAGAAGATGTGGGTCTGGTTCTTTACCACATCTTTTCTTCATCTCAATCATTTCAGTTAATAACAAGAAATTAACTTAAAATATATTTCTATAAGAAATTAACTTAAAATATATATCTTAAAATATATTTGAATACATTTTGTTCTTACCAACTTTTAAATTTGTTAGAAAATTTTGCTTTGCTTTCCGCAGTGTAAACCTTAAGAAGAGTAAAATATTTTTGTTAATTATGAAAGCACAGGGTCTTCTGAAGTCAGTGGGTCAAACGATTTGACTGGCGAAGATTCCTCTGGGAGAGTTCTGGGAGGAGGCCAGAAAGGAAGGTGGGAGCCTTGGTTACCAGGCTAAGGAATTGGAACTCGATGTCCTTTGAGCACTGGGAGGGTGTGGTCATGGGTAGCACTGAGATTTTTTGAGTGAGGGACGTACCAAAATACATGTTTTGGAGAAATCAATCTGCTGTGCTGTGTGAGGGTGAGCTAGAGGGATGAGGAGACGGGGATGGGAGAGGGGACAGGCTGTTGGTAATCGAGTTTAGTGGATTTTGGTGAATGGAAAAATGTTCTCAAAACAAAGTTGAATTTTTATGGGAGTAAGAGTTTTGGGGGGGTTTTTTGGTTTGAATTTATTGGGAAGAAGTTCTCTGTTCTGGCTTAAACATTGTTTTTAGATTTGTCAGTTTTTGATGATAACAGTGTGACATGTAATCCTGTGGTAGTCACGTGGGTAAATAATGTTTTTTTCATACTAAGTATTGCTGCTTTTATTTAAAATCTAGCTAATTTGTTTTCTTAAGCATTTCCGTCTTTTTATATTTACTATACGCTTTGAATATATTCGTTTTAACAAATGATGGTTTTCTTTGGTTTCCTAGTACGTTTTTTATCAAGGCGAAAGTGTTCTTTAGGTCATGACGACTGAACCTGAACAGGTTGTCTCTGTAATTGAATGTTTGGTTATTAGTCGAGTCCCACGATAGTGGAGCGCCTGCAAAATACAGTAAAATCTCGGTTGGACTTGGCTGGTTTACAATAATTGCCCCTCTGTTAAAGTGTCCTTCTGCTGGGGGAAAAGGCATCTTTCCTTTCTTGGCTCAGCTGTTACCTCACGTACCTTAGATTATTCCTCAGAGAGATTTTCCTATATTAACTGATTTGCTAAGCACTTTGCTTTTTTATTTTCATACAAAAACACAATTTTTTTGCCTCCACTGCCTTTTAGCAGTTGAAATTTTCCATAAAAATCTTACTAGTAGTTCCTGGTTTTAAATTTTGTGTTGGATAACTGTTTAGGAACTCTAGTTTGGGAAGATATATTTCATTTGTGTTAGGAGTAACTTAGTGTTGTATAGCCTAAGACTTTTATGTAAACTTATCCTAAAATAAAATGAAGTTTGAAATGGGCTATTAAGATACCTTTCTCAAGATTTCTTCAAGTTAATGGATTTCCCAATGGAGACATCAAAAGTATGTTTAAATAAATAAATGTATATGTGTGTGTGTAAATACATATGCATGTATCTGTATGTATACCATTTTTTCCAGGCTCAGTGATGTGCTAATACTCTGTAATTAAGCTCAAAGGCATCTGTTAAACCATTGGTTAGCTCTTCAAATCAATTTTGTTAGATATAGTTATTAGATATGGTTAGCTGATCAGTGACAGCTCTGTATTATGATCTATTCTGTTGAATGACTGTGGGAAGAATCTCTTTATCTGCCTGTTTATATTCTTATAAGAATTCTTATAAGAATGTGAACAAAGGAAAATGCCTGCTGTCTTCCCTATTGTGCATGGTAATTTTGGATGTGTGTGTGGTGTGTGTTTGAAAGAGATATAGGCTGTTAAATTACAAAAATCATTGATGTGAGGAAGTGGTATGACAAAAAAATTGTGTGTGGTTTTAATAATTGGGGGCCCTGTTTATGTAGTAGTCATACTATAGGTTGAAAGTATTTTTAAAAAATCACATAAAAGGAGATGCAACCTCAATTATTAAAAAACTAAATTATAGAAAATATACAAAATATATGTGTATGAGTAGAAGAATTTAGCTTTAAATTCAATGAAATTTGATCACAAATACTATTATAATGAAAATACCCATATGACAAAAGATTGA